CGCCCCCGCCAGGTGCAGCCCGCCCGCCCTGCCGCCCGCTTGCGTAAGGCTGGGAGGGGGCGGGTGACACCGCCTCGTCCTGCCCGGCGCGGGGACCCCGGGACTCGCTCGCCTGCGCCCGCCTCCCTCCTTCCCCGCCACACGCACCCGGGGCAGGGACTTGCTGGGAGGGCAGGACGAGGGAAGCAGAGGTTAGACACGAGGAAAAACTTCCTCAACCTCCTAAGGGGGGAGTGAGGCGCTGGGACAGACTGCGGAGACCCCCTCGGCGGAGGGGTTAAGACCCGGCGGGGATGAGGATGGTCCTGCTTTGAGCGGGGGGGTTGGAGGGGGATTACATCAGTGGGTCTCAACCTTTTTTTTTTCTGTGCGCCAGGACCCATCTGTCAACTTCGCTGGCCAGTCCCGACCCCGTGCCCCCTCCCCAGTGTGTGGGGCATGGGGGCCCTCTAAGCAGCTCCTCACAGGCTAGGGCTCTGCCAGCCTGCAAGAGAAAAGCCACGTTTTTTTCCTTTAAAGGAGAACCCATTTTTTAAAAGTTTGCCCATCCATGTTTCAAGTTTGTTCGGGACCCTTTCATATACCCATGTGGTTTGCTTTTGGGTCACTATGACCAGCATTGGTCACTACTGGACCAGATGACCTCCTGGGGGCCCTTCTAACCCTCATTTTCTAGGAGTCCTGAACCCATTTTACAGAAGGAGACACTTCAGTGAGGTGAAGGCAACAGCAGGCAGCAGGGCTGGCAGGCATTCGTTCTCCAGTGGCAGCCCAGCTCCAGTCCAGCCTTCCTGCCCACCCCTGGCTGGCCAGCTTTCCAAGAAAAGACTACTCTTCCTGCTTCCAGTAGCAGGGTAGGGGGGAAATGTTGGGCACCCTCATCCTCTCCCCCTCAGGCACAAAATTACTGTCTTACTTAGGAAATCAGTTTTGACAGGAATCTCTCTCCCCTCCACAGAAGCCTCGATTCTAATTTTGGCTTCCCAGACAAACCCAGGCACAAAATTAGGCCACATGGATTGTGTTCTAGTGCCTTAAAGACTTGAGGGGGAGGAAAAGCTTTGAGCCATGTGTTATCTGAAAAGGGAAGAGTGTTATTATTTTAAGTTACCTAAATGATTGCATTTTAAAATGGAGTGCAATCCCAGGCAGTACTAGGAAATTTAACAGTTTGGCTGCAGCCCCAAAAAACATCTCAGATCATTTTGGCTTTTAATGGTCCGCCAAATTAGTTGTAACTGAGGGACAATAAAGCTTTAAGACTTAACAGAGGTGATTATTAGTCATTAATATCATGACACCTTTAGAAACTATGTTCAACATGTTCTGTAATGATTTGTAATTAATCAAATAGATAGTCTTATTACAATTAAATCCCATCTTCAAATCAGACCATTAAAAAAAAAAAACACAAACCCCCAAAAAGGTATCATAGTTTTGAAAAAAAAGTCCCAGAAGCTCTAAACCCCTGAAATCCAAGAAGTCAGGACATTTTCGTAATGTATTTCTTATCACATTGATTACATTAGCGCAATGCTTTCATGAATGTTTAAGTTACCATATAAAAGAAACGATATATTTTGTATTTTAAACTTCTCATCTTTGTTATAGTTTTAGATTGGTGCTTTATTTGGCTATCTTAAAAAAAATCTCCCCCCCACAGAGCATTGATGTTGGTCCAATTCCACAGGAGCTGTGTATTTTTGAGGCCTCAGCCTATCTTAAGCTCTGTTTCCCCTTCTGCTTTCATTATCAGCCACTCATTTTAGGACATACAAATGAAATAAGAGCTCTAATTGTATCTACTGTGATACAAAAGTTGCCCAGGCAAGATATGCAAAGCATTCGTGAACGCTTTATTGAATTTTGATAAGTGGCTTGTGAATTGATCAGAAGCTGGCAAAAATTAATAGTAGCCTTTCTGGTGACTGGATTCTTTCCGGCATATAGGGTACCAAAAGCAGGTCCTTCTGCATGCTTGAAGGAAACAAGTCCCTTCTTGAATTTAAAATACTAGTTTCATTTTATTGCAGGCCTGAACTGTGCTGTAGAAGAGACTCTGGCAATTGTCAGTATTCTCCAAAGCCTCACAATTTTTACACACATTTTAAAATAAATATCATGCGTGCTTTGTCTACTCAATTTTCAGGATATACTTTTCTCCCACTTACACCCATAGGCCACATCCAAACAAGTGCAGATGTGCGGTATGTGACACCACAGAGGTGCCATACTGCACATGAAGGCATTCCCCATGCTGCTACTTTGGGGGGGGGGGGGGGGGGGGGGGCGCGGCATGGGAGGCTATAACCCTGGGAAAAAAAAAAAAATCCATGCCGAAAAAAATGGGGCAGCTCACATGGCAGTAGCATGCACTGCCCAAAATCACAGCCTGGCCAACCAGAGCCATGTTCCAACTGCCTGCCAGGCTCCCTGTAGCAGGAGCACCGTGGCCCCAGCCTTCCCTACCCCACCTGGGGTAACCTGCTGCACATCAGAGCATGCATGGCATGGGCGTTCCCCAGGGACAAGCACCAGCAGCACAAGGTGTGCCACTGCTACTTGTGCCCAGGGAAACACACGTCTGGACATGACCATAGATATTTTCTGAATAACTGGATTTCAATGGATTTGAATCAATATCTTTCCAAGTTGAATTTGATCCTCAAGTAACTGCAGTGTTGTTAAATCTAACTTATCTATTCGCTGTTGGAAATATATATTTGTCTAATGTCTTTCCTACAAAAAACCCAAGGCATATAGTTACTGGGTGCCTCCACAGCTGCTGATACCCCTCCTACACCAGGTGGTTAACGCCTTCTTTATAAAATGAGACCAGACTGATATGCATTGGATTTGTGTACATTTGAAATAATTCCACTGGGCCAAATTCTTAGCTATGCCAATGAAAATCTGGAGCAAATCCATTAGTTAGTGAATTTACTCCATACTGATGCATGGAGACTAGCATAACATGGCAGAATCTGGCCCTGAGTGCACTGTCTATGTTATGCATTCAGTCTGTAAAGGCCTGCATCATGGAATTCAAAGCCCACAATTAACTTACAGTTTCTGCACTTCAGCATGGATGCTACTAACATTATTACAGGCACAACCACAAATGTTTACTAAATAAGCAGCTGGGTTTGGTGCTGATATCTACACCTTGCATTTATGGAATATAGGGCCTGAGTCTGCATCATATTAATTTCAAACTGGTAAAATGCTACTGGACTTTGAAATTGCTCTCATTTTACACCGGTATAAACCACTTCTCCCTTTGCTAACTACTAAGGGTAACCTTGCTTAGTCTCTCTCTACAATAATTTTTTGGTCATGCTGTAATTCAGCTCTCCCTTCTATGGTGACTTTAGTACCATCTGCATCCATACACAGAAGTCAATCGGTTGACTACAGATCTTGCAACAAGGAGGCAGGGTACAAGACATGCACCTTACAGACTAACTACATAAGACATATACAGAGCAGCAGCTTTCAGGAATTTGAGTTTACTTCATGTATTTAGTTAGTCCATAAGGTGCATATCTACCCTGCCCACTGCCTGGCTTCAGACTAACGCAGATAACTACCTCTCTGATTTTGCAACAAGTCATGGTATGTAACATTGGGTACTTCCCTATACTTCAACACAACTGATGTTCTGTCCTGTCAGGACGCAAGTTACACTGGACAAGTCAGATGAGCATGCTGTTAGCCATTTCTCACGTAGCCCTGCATGCTATATAAGTGGGGCCTCTTCAGGCCATGTAACCGAAAAAAAAACTCCAAAAAACAAACTCTGCTGCTCCAAGATAGGTCTGACCCAAAAGTGCCTACAAGATCAAAAAGCAGTTTACCCAAACCTGTTGGGAAGTACAGAAACAACTTGCATCTGACCACACATTGATGTCCAGAGGAATTTGTTGACTGAGACTTTCAGAATCTGTAAGTATTCGGGAAATTTGACCTCTACGCTCCAAATTCTCCTAGGCACACAGTTTCTCCCTGAGGGCCACCTGCAATCATCTGCAACCCACCGCAGTTTGGAACGGTGCAAGCACAGCATGCCCTGAAGGTAATTCTACTAACCTGACCAAGCACAGGATGCAGGGCATGACAATAGATCTAAGACTGTGTGAAGGGAGCTGAAATGTGTTTTCTGCAACTAAGTTAAATAACACGGATTGCATACAATTGAGTGAGCAAGGTAGCCTAAACATAGCCTTACTCCATTGTCTGAAATAATAAACACTTCTGCAGAAAGGAATAGGGTGTCTTAGGCTTAAAATATTTGATAGCAAAGTATTACCATGATTATACCATCATAAAGCTCACCTTTGAACTCCCATTTGTAGACAATACTTGCCTGGGAGAGCTCTGTAGGAACATGACCGTCACTCATATGCCATTCAGAATTCAGGCTGCTTTCTGTATGTTAAAGGGAAGATTTTTTGGTTTTCTCCAAGTAATGAATTAAATACATTGCAACCTGTCAGATGACATTTGAATATCAAGATGTGTGTCAATTAGGAAACAATAGCAACACTCAAGCTGGAATATGAGGTTGAACATCTACATCTTTTACATTTTAAAAAAGGAACAGTAAAAATAACAGGTTATGCTTTTAGCTGTGTTTTTTTTTTTTTTTTTTAAAAGGTAACCACTTTCAGTATTTTGTAAGATTTCACTAGGTATTATGTATTATGTAGTTACAAAGCACTGCTATACCTTTTGGCTCCCTCTCCAGATGCGTTCATACTAGTCTTAAGTTTTGTATGCACACATCATTAATGCTAACTGCTTAGCAGGCAACTATTCACAAATAGAAATCCCTGGGCTCATGAGACACTGAAGTGGTAATGGGGAAAACTAAAGAAAGACATCTCTCTAAAGTATAGTGTCCCATTACTCTGGCACAAGCGCTAAATGCAGAGGTCACTAGAGCAGCTGATACCAGGATGCCAGTGCATTAAGATCTATGCCAGTGAAAACTGGGGCTTTGCGCTGGTGCTTGGCATTTCCATTATGTTTCTGCGCTGGTGTATGTGCCTCAATGCAGTTCAGCTAGTATGAATTTCCTAAAATATAGAAGGTATTTGTCAAAACCAGAGGACAAAGCTGGCCCTCTTGTGCTCCAATTTCAACTTACATTTTTTCCTTAAATTTATTTCTTCCTTAATGTTTTTGGGAAATGAAGAAAAACAAATTCTCCAGAACACACAAAATTATTAATCATGATCTCTTAGGTTTTTTTAAAGAAGAAAACGAGGGAAATTGTTTGAATTATTACAACCAAACACCGCCTTAAATTCTTACTCAGAATCGCTGTGTCCAGTTGGCCTCCTCTAGGTAAAATGAGATGCAAAGAAAGAAACAGGGAGACTTGTAAATCAATATTCTAAGCAAAATTAAACTCTGCTGTGTACTTGTATTAAATAATTCCTGTAACTTCTAATCTAAGACCTGTTCTCATTGATATCAATAGGAAATTTCTACTGCCTTCAATAATGCAGGATCATACCCAGAAAAACCTAGCAAGAAGGACACCTGTACTGCAGGACAGGCTGCTAGAAAGTATCACAAGACGATGAACTTGTTGTCTGAAAATATTACATCCCAAATACATTTAGAAGATTAGTATTCTAATTGTTGTATCATGTAACATATTCAAAAGTCACTCGGGTATCTGATTCTCACCTGGAAGTGGCACTTTGGATATTGTTCACTTGTCACCTATCATCAGGAAATGCAATGCACTATCCACAGAATAGTTTAACTATAGGCTTGCTGCAACCATTATTCACAGAGACATTTCCCTCTCCTTAAAATTCCCAGTGCTCTTTCAGTCCTCTTGAGGCTACTGATGTGCAACATCCTCACTCCAACTAAAACAATCCATCCTCTACCAGCAGTTCTCTCTGCCCACCACCACTGATATCAGATCTTCCTGTCCTTACACACCCCTGCTCTCCCAAATCCCATTAAGGCCCTATCTCCCACAAGGCATGATTGATCTTTTATGCAGTCCATACTGCTCACACCAAGGTGTAGCCAACACCAAGCTGCTCACCACGCCATCACCAAGGTGTAGCCAACAGACCCTTAAAACACCTCAACAAATCTAAACCTCTTTTTCCTTCCCTAGAGCAAGCAAGCCTCATTTATTGAGCTGAATATGAAATCTGCTGCTATAACATGATGTGGTTATTCTCTCTCAGTTCACAGGATTTTGGACAATATTAAAAACACAAAGTTTAAGAAATGCTTCTTTTCTGTTTTTGAAAAAAATGAAAGAAAAATCAATTCAGCAATGAGTCTAGGGGTAGGTCAACAGAAAAAAAAATCTTCAGAGAACATAACTGAAAACTCTGTTTTGCTGTGGCAGAAGCAAAGAATATTTGCTAAAAACACAGGCATGGTAGAAAAACACCAAAGAAAGCAGTCAGTCTGTGGGGCCAATTAATAAGTGTAACTTCACTAAGGCTAACAGGGTTGAGCCACTAACTATAGCTCTGCATTTAGACCTAGTGGATGCATCTACGTGTACAATCAGCATGCAGAAATAAACTCCAGAGCAGTTTGGGCCGGAGTTAATGGCTCCCCAGCACAGTGTATATATGTGCACCTGCGACTGCACCAGTTAGAGCCAGGGCAGAGGAGCCCCAGGCTGGCAGTGGTCCGGAGGTCAGCCCCAGGCTCCGGGTGATGGTGCCAGGCAACGGAGAAGCTGGCTGGGTCCTGAGGGTATTACAGTGTGGGTCCAGCTGACAGCTAGCCCCCGCGCTGGAGCACCCTCATGCCCAGCCAGTAACGGTCATTGTCCTGGACAGTACTAGCCTACAGTGGAGTTAATTAAGTTATTGTACCCTAATATGAGTGCACATGTAGACACTGTGACACTCTACTGCGGAGCTAATTACTCAACTCCACAGTAAAGCACGTGTGTAGATGCACCCAGGGTGTGCTGAAAACATAATAGTGTTGGACTATATGAGAAAGCCACACGCATACATGTAAAAGGGTCATTGCTACTCAGGTCTGTTGATTCACTATCTACTTTTGGTTCAAAATCATAGGAAACTAACTTTGGTAACGCAGCTTACAATATTCTCTGTATGCAAATGGAAAGACAAATATGCACTAAAGTCAGTTCAACAGTTCTGTAAGATGGATATATATGCTTTTTGTTCTGTAGATGTACTTCGCACCGTTTTTTAACCCAGTTTGGTCTAGTCTACACAGGCAAGCCCCAACACATTATAACATAGTTAAGCCATTACCCTTAAGTGGTGTTCAAATGCCATAGATTTTGTAGCACTGATAGCACCAGATAAATAGCCATAAACAAGATTTTTCTAGCATGGTTCATAGGAAGAATGTTACTGCACGGATTTGCTAGCTTTAAGAGCAGCTTAAACATTATTACTAGTCGAATAGTTTTGGTTATAGTGATGATGGACAAAGTGTCAACGTAGACTTAAATGCAACGTGCTCTTGTTTAAATCTGCTACAAAGACAACATGGTGCAAGTGCCCAAGAATATATTGCACTCGCATGCGTGTGTGAACACGAGTACACATAAGCCTTCAGCAACTAATCCATCTCATGTATACTGCATTTTTCTTTCCTGATAATTGTCTCATATCACTGCCTTGGCAATTTATGTGACCGGGGATCCATTTGACCAGTCAAAAAGTTTGGTCAATTGACTGGTCAAATATCGATCAAAAATTGTAAAGAATTGCCAACAGGTCCAAGTAACACACAGAAAAAGCACAAGTTTTCCATTAAGAAATGTGTCAAAAAACAATAAGAAAAACATGTTTAAAAAAATGTTGGGGTTATTTTTTTTTTTTTATAAAATGGCTATAATCTTTGACCTGTCAAAAATATGCAGTCATTTGACAAGTCAATTAGCCAGCTTGCCAACCCTAAACCTTTAATTTGAACATAGGGCTCGGCAACTTTTGAAAATTTTACTTGACTTGATTAGAACACTAACCTTGAAAGTTTTACTCACAATGGAAAATTGTCAGATATCTGGTACTGCCCAGCAGCATGTTCACTGATATATATGTCCTTATTGCAATGTTTTATGGGCCTGATCCTACATTACTGAAGTCAGCAAAAATTTTGCCATTACATTGTTGAGAATAAAAACATTCCCATGGAAGAAAGTCTCTCTTCTACTATTAAGAATATCAAAAGTTATACCAGGTTAAGCTTCCACAGTGATTCTGAGGTTTTAACGTTTAATTAAAAATAGTGTCTATAGCTATATAGATGTACAGTTGCAAGTGGTGCCAGGCAAATAAAATATGGGAATTTTATTAATACAAATTAGCAACCATAAAATCCTTCTGTATCCACCCAGAAAAAAGAAAACAAACAAACAAACAAAAAAAACCACACACAAAACATCTGTCCAGGTTAAATTATACCCTTCATTCAAACATGCAGTTATCTGAGGGTCTGATTTTAAGTAAACAGTGAGTGACCTATACAACTTCTCCTTTTACAAAAAGACCCAAAAAAACAGAAGTTGAATCTACAGCACCAAATTTAGAAGAAAAAAAAAAGCTGGCAGCAAGTAGCACAAGAACATCAGATGTAGCATAAACTCCCACTTCCATTCTGTTTCATTACAAATAAATGCACAGCATATAGAAACCAAATTCATTGAGTTAACGCAATTGAAACACTTGCAAGTGTTTCATTCTCATTCCTTATTAAGAAAAAAGAAAGAAAATGTCCAATCTCTGACAGTAAAATGCAATGAAAACCTGTATGAGAACACAAAACATGACTGAAACATGTCAGGATTCTTCTACCTACTATGGCCTAGTAATGACTCATTTGACCTTGTTAGATTAACTGTGCTAGGGAGAGAGAATCAGCCAAATTCAGTAGTATATATGCAGTTAAATAAGACAGTGTAAGTGATATCTGTACTCCCAGAACTACTTAAAAATCAGCATAAATATGTTAAAGACTAAATTATGGAGAGAAAAAAAAGATTATGTAGTTTAGAGATCCTCTATACAGATCTCTTAAGAATTTCTTCTTCTCCCTCACTTTAAGAGAAAGGGACCAACACTTCATTTACAGTAATAGCAATCAGAGAATAAGACTGAGGGCTCCACCAGTCACTATTCCTAAGATCACAGGTATTTCAGGCACGGCAGGCATACAATACAAAAGGGAAAGAAAGATGCAGAGAACCAAAAACTCATCCCAAAGGGCCCTGTACTCCTTTCTGCTCGTCTGTGCTAACTGACTGAGGTGAATCTGGGGAAGTGGCGTGAAGCAGCCTGGCTGTCCCCACCCTGCTTCATTCACAACATGTGACTGGGGATTCGCAGGAAGGAAAGGCGATCCGTTGGAAGCAGGACAGCATAGCACTAGAAGGCAGCTGCTGCACGTGGTACACTCCTCTTTAAGCCCTGTGACTTTGAGCTGAAACCCATATAGCTTTCAAGCAGTATTCGCTGCCCCCTTTCATTTTTCACCTGTGTTTGGGAAAGAATATAGAAACTTAAATGCATAGGGCAAAAAAGCCAATGACAAGGCAAGGTACTCATGCCAGGGGAGACACAGAGCAAAGTCTCTTCAACTTCTCCTAGCATGGATTTTTCCAACCAAAAGGGATGATCAGACCCCTAAACCTTTGCTCTTTCATAAGCTCATCAACTATTTTTGTTTGCCTTTTGGTACAGTAACGTTACAAGTCAATTTCTACCCAAGAATATTTTTAGTGGGGAAATAAGATATGCCCTGTTAGGTGGTTGGCCCTGGGGGGG